ACTGTGCCACTGCTGGTAAAATTCCTGGAAATTGTTTTCTAGAGTGCTGTGCAATATCTTTTCTGTGGCATGCTGGATGTCTAGAATAAAATTTGAGTCCTTTTAAGGCGTTTTTTACAATTTTGTAAACAGCCAAAAGTCGCAGGGTGCTAAATCAGGGGAATAAGGTGGTTGGTCAAGTTTCAGAATGGATTTCTGGGCCAGAAACTCATGAACACTTAACGCATCATGTGCAGGAGCATTGTCTTGGTGGAGAATCCACTTGCCAGGCCAGAGTTACGGTATTTTTTCTCTGAACAGCTTTGGATTGAACGTTGGATCATTGTGGACATCTTCCCGCCCCTCTTTAAACTGCCTACAGTTGCAAGAAAAAGTATGTGAACCCCTTGGGATTACGTGGAGTTTTGCATGAATTGGGCATAAAATGTGCTCTGAACGTCATCTAAGTCACAACAATAGAAGAACACAGTCTGCTGAACATAATACTACACAAACATTAGATGTTGCCATGGTTTAATTGCACATAACATGTAAACATTCACAGTGCAGGGAGGAAAAAGTATGTGAACCTTTGGACTTAATAACTGGTTGACCCTCCTTTGGCAGCAATAACCTCAACCAAACGTTTCATGTAGTTGCAGACCTGCACAACAATCTGGAGTAATTTTGGACCACTCCTCTTCACAAAACTGTTTCAGTTTAGCAATATTCTTGGGATGCCTGGTGTGAATCGCTCTCTTAAGGTCATGCCACAGCATTTCAATCGGGTTGAGGTCAGGACTCTGACTGGGCCACTCCAGAAGGCGTATTCTGTGCTGTTGCAGCCATTGTTTTGTTGAATTACTTGTATGCTTTGGGTCATTGTCCTGTTGCATCACCCATCCTCTGCGGAGCTTCAGTTGGCAGACAGATGGTCGTACGTTTTCCTGCAAAATGTCTTGATAAACTCTGGAATTCATTTTCCCATCAATGACAACAATCCGTCCAGGCCCTGAGGCAGCAAAGCAGCCCCAAACCATGGTGCTGCCCCCTCCGCCATGTTTTACAGTGGGGATGAGGTTTTGATGTTGGTGTGCTGTGCCTTTTTTTCTCCACACATAGTGTTGTGTGTTCTTCCCAAACAACTCAATCTTGGTTTCATCTGTCCACAGTATATTTTGCCAGTAGTGCTGTGGAACATCCAGGTGCTCTTTTGCAAACTTCAAACGTGCTGCAATATTCTTTTTGGACAGCAATGGCTTCCTCCGTGGTGTCCTCCCATGTACTCCATTCTTGTTTAATGTTTTCCTTATTGTAGATGTGTCAACAAAAATGTTAGCATGTGCCAGAGATTTCTGTAGGTCTTTAGCTGACACTCTGGGATTCTTCTTTACCTCATGCAGCATTCTGCGCTGTGCTCTTGCAGTCATTTCTACAGGACGACCACACCTAGGGAGAGTAGCAACAGTGCTAAACTTTCTCCATTTGTAGACAGTCTGTCTTACCGTGGACACATGAACATCAAGGCTTTTGGAGATACTTTTGTAACCCTTTCCAGCTTCATGAAAGTCAACTATTCTTGATCGTAGGTCTTATGAGAGCTCTTTTCTGCGAGGCATGGTTCACATCAGACAGTGCTTCTTGAAACCAGTAAACCCAAAACAGGTGTGTGTTTTTTAAGGGCAGGACAGCTGTCAGCAACACATCCAATATCATCACACTGATTGGAGTCAAGGTTGGCTCACTCCTGGCTCCAATTAGCTCTGGGAGTCATTAAGCTAGGGCCTCACATACTTTTTCCTCCCTGCACTGTGAATGTTTACATGTTATGTGCAATTAAACCATGGCAACATCTAATGTTTGTGTAGTATTATGTTCAGCAGACTGTGTTCTTCTATTGTTGTGATTTAGATGACGTTCAGAGCACATTTTATGCCCAATTCATGCAAAACTCCACGTAATCCCAAGGGAATCACATACTTTTTCTTGCAACTGTATGCCATTCAAAAACACCTGATGTCTTCAAAAAATGTTCACCATAACCCTGTTGTAACACAGTTTCCCTTGAAAGTTTGCCAGTTTTCACACAAAACTTGATATTAATCTGCTGCTCCAGATTCCTGTCACTCATTTTCCACCAACAGCTCAACTCACAGACATGTTATTTCTTTTACTACTTCCTAAAGACTGAGCCAACTGGTCTGCAAACCAGACGAGTGCAAATTAGAACATGTCAGAACACGCTCAAGTGCGAATGGCTTTGTGACTCACCACCATAATGCTATGCCTCAAGCATTCTGGGAATTAAGTTGTCACACTATATAAACATGTCTGAAATATAAAGTGTCTGTGTTGCTTCACATAATCCTTTTCATATGTACCCTTATATTTACCAACTGCCATTTTTAAGTTTTTTATTTACAAACTGTCATTTCTCTAGCTCATTTTTAATACCAGCACGTTTTTGTCCTACAGGTTAAATCAACAAACAACAGGACATTTCCCAAAATCTTCTCATTATGAACTTTTTTAAGGCATGACATGATATTTTAAACAATATGACATTGGGAACATCTGTATATGTCTTTATTTTGGAATCCAGCAAGTTGTTAAGAGCTTTACACAAGATAATCCTTTAAATGTCCTAATGATGGAAGCGTCATACGAGGAAACAACGGAATGCACGTTAGTATTTGTAAGGACGCACATATTAGCAGTTTGTTCCTGGAATGCACTGATATTTATTTATGCAGCTAAACTGATATCAAGAAGATAATTGAAACTGCAATTAGTATTTCCAGCTGAGAGACGTGTCTTTTCCTGTCTTCTCTTCCTGAGCTTTTGCAGCAACCAAATAAACATTCCAGATACCATTACATAGCATATCAGTTCAGTTATTCACACTACTGCATTTACTTTGTATGCAATACAGACATAATGAATACAGTGATGACTTGATTTAAAAATGAATTATACACAATGTACAAAACTTGCAGTCCTCAAGTGTCAAAAGGATACCGGGCTCAGTTCACAAAGGCTGGCCATACATTATACAATTTTCTTGAGAATTTTGCTTTAGATTTACCAAAAACCATTTAATATGAGGTCAAACGTAAACAACACTTTCAGTTGTATCCAGTTAGGCAGGCCCTTGCACTACATAGTTGAAGGTAAATCTAAAGGAAATTGTAAGAAAATTGTATAGTGTATGGTCAGCCTAAAGAGTTTTTTTCCTCTTACAATCTGAGATAAAATAACTTGTAGCTTATTTCAAACCTTTTTTTTGCAATTGAGAAAAAAACTTTAAAAAAAGCATGTGTAGCACTACCCCTTAGGACAGTGGTTCTCAACCTTCCTAATGCCGTGACCCTTTAATACAGTTCCTCATGTTGTGGTGACCCCAACCATAAAATTATTTACCAAGGAATTATAATTCATGAGTGTCGTTTTAACTGGAATACTGCTGCTTTCAGCACAGCAGCTGCTTTCTACACAGTAGCTGCTCTTTACACATCGGAAATATGTGTTTTCTGATGGTCTTAGGGGACCCCTGTGAAAGGGTCGTTCGACCCCCAAAGGGGTCGCGACCCACAGGTTGAGAACCACTGCTTTAGGAGTTGCTGAAGTTTTGGGTCCCCCCATAGTCCTGCACAGCCAGGCAACTTGCATTTTCTACAGACTTGGACTCTAGAGACAGAAAACAGTCTTTGAGCTTGTTTTTTTGGTTTTATTAGGGGAGTTGATTTTGGATGGGGTAAGAAGTGTATGGGATGCCGAAGGGAAATGCAAAAGGAGGACAACTTCCTGGCAACAAGTGTTTACACAGCAAAACTCTTCTGAGAGAGCTCTCCAGCCTCTCCACCCCAGACCCCAGATAAATCCTCTTCTTTACCCAGCAGGGCGGACTGACAACTCATGGGGCCCCTAGGCAATAGGGGATCATGGGGCCCCTGTGTCCTTGCCCACACCAAAAAAAGCCTATGAAAAAGACAATCAAAGGTACCAGGGGCATCTCATGGGGCCCCCTACTGACCCCAGGCCCTCGGGCAGTGCCCGAGTGCTCAAACGGTCAGTCCGCCCCTGTTACCCAGCTGTCTGGAGGAATCCCTGAGCAAGGGGAGGCAGTGCCTGCCACTTTAAGTTGGAACTAGTCAGATTTCCCCCAGAATGCTCTTTTCCCCGTAGCTTGCCCAGGGGGGTGTAGGAGTACTCACCTTTGAGCTGGTTTAGGTAGGTGGCTGCCTTTAGACCTTCTGCTGAGCTGGCTTCTTTCTAGGTTCAACAGGTAGCCCTCCCTGTACTGGTGAGTTCAATGCCGGCCATAAAATCGGCCGAAAATCGAACCTAAGAATAATCGGCCGATTTTCGCTTTGTTAGTGGGTCAATGGCACTGGCCGATTTTCGTGGTTCCTCCCCTTTTCAGTGATTGGGCATGTTGGAAAATTTGTGAAAAACGACTGATTTTTGACTCAATGATGGTCAAATCATATGATCATTTTTACGAAAAGAATATGCGCTTGAGTCGTGACCTGGAAGGAACAGAAGTTTCATCTGTTATATGAGGTGAACTTTATGACTTGGTCGGACGATTTTCTAAATCATTGATAGCACCATCAGATTACTGAGCAAACTTTTTCAATTTTCAGACGAAAAATCATTCCCAATTTGACCCATGTATGGCCTACATAAGTGATCCTCCTGTCCAGGTCCCAGCCTGTAGGTAGGCCACTTCCTACTGGGCCCCCTCCCACACTTCTGCATCTCTTCCTCTCTCACATCTTCTACCCAGACTCTCCTGCTGCTGAGCAGGCTCAGTCATACTTAAAGTGTTACTAAATCCACAATGGTAAAATCAGCCTATATATGCATGTGTATGTATATGCTTGTTATACTCACTGTAGAACCTAAGGGGTTAATCCTATGCATTGTGTAAAAAGACTGTTTGATCCTGACTTCTCTGATCCTCCCCTTCTTCCACTGTCCTCTTATCTCCTGATAAGACACATTGTGTGAAGACACACATGCTCAGTTTGGTGTGTATTGCTAAAGAGTTTTTTTTCTTTTCTTAAGAGAGCGCATGCGATCAGCACAGGGCCAATCAGCACTGTCCAGACAGAGGTGAGGGGTCCTGCATCCTCCTAGAGCAGAAAGAAAACTCTTCCTACAAGCTTTAAAGTGGAGTTCCAGTCTTTTTTGTGTTTATTAAAAGTCAGCAGCTACAAAAACTGTGTGCTGTAAAAGAGCATATAGCACACAATTAACCCTTTTTTATTGTCCCAGATGTTAACCCCTTCCTGCCCAGTGTCATTAGTAGTGCTTTTTATTAGCACTGATCACTGTATTAGTGTCACTGGGGATGTCAGTGGCAGTTAGTCAGTTCCCACCCAGTGTCAGAATGCATGTAGCAGTCCCGCAATAAGTTGCTGACTGTCGCCATTACTAGTAAAAAAAAAAAATTCCAGTATATATACCACCATTTTGCACAGACATGTATCAGAATACATTTTGGCCTAAATTTGTGACAAAATTAGATTTTTAAACTTTTTTTAATGGATATGTTTTATAGCAAAAAGTAAAAAAAAATATTGAGGTTTTTTTTCAAAATGTTCGGGGTTTTTTTTTTGTATAGTGCAAAAAAAAATGTACAGGTGATCAAATACCACCAAAAGAAAGCTCTATTTGTGGGGGAAAAAAAGGACATAAATTTAATTTGGGTGCAGTGTTGCATGACCACGCAATTGTCAGTTAATGTAACAGCGCCGTATCGCACAAAATGGCCTGGTCAAGAAGGGGGGGTAAATCCTCTGGAGGGCAAGTAAATCAGGCCCAATGATTGTGTTTTTCCATATTTAGGTTTCTATGCATTCCTGTTGAGGAACTGATCCAAAAAGGTAAAGACTACTCCAAACTGGCTATTATATTTTTACACTCCTTAAACACGGCATGCCTGGACCACTACTTATTAAACTCATGCATTTATTTATTTCCTTTAGAAAATTGACTTTAACCGTTTTTGCACCGCCCTATAACAGAAATACTGCTACAGGACGGCACAGGTGCACAAAATCACGTATATATACGTGATTTTGCAGTTCCTGGTAGGGGGCGCTCGTGCCCTACCTGCGCCGCCATTCACTGCCTCAGCTGTCAATCACTGGGTCCCGGCCGGCAATTCTCCGCCTGCACCCGGTGATCTCCGAAGATTTCCGACAGGGGCGAGACCTGTATGTAAACAATATAGTTCTCTCCCCTGTCAGCTCCTGCACACTGCTTTGTATGGCTCTGCATAGCATCTATTATTTCCGTAAAACTTTTTTTTTACATTTCTTCTGTAACTTCCTGGTTACCATGCCTAGTGAGACACTACTCTGGATGAAGAAGCACAAGAGGCACAGTAGACAATAGCATTGGCGGTCTGGGAGAAGGGTAGTGTTAAATGTATAAGCAGTTTTAAATACACAAAATGGTATAAAAGTGAGCGCTCTTGAAGGGTAAGCTGCTGGACACTTAATGTAACCAAGTGAAAACCCTAATAAAACTTCCTAAAAAATAGTGCAGCGCTATGGGTATGATGTAGGTCAAAGCAAGACTAAAAGTCAAAATATCTAAACGCACAATAGCATATGTCAGTTAAAACAAGACTAAAAATCAAAATGTCTAAACGCATAATATCACATGCAATATGTCAAGGCAAGAAAAAAGTTATATAAAAAAAGTTCCGTGTTTTCATTAGAGTCTTATAAAGTGCTTTTCTTATAAAACCGTGGTGTTGTTCCAAGTAATATAGGGGGATTGTGCACTCACCAGATGCACAATAAAAATGTGCATTGAACAAAAATCCACAGAAGCTTCCTTCAGGATCTGGTCTGGAATAGGGGCAGTTGTCCTCCCTCTGGATGATTGGTCTGGTCAGGGACACCTGGAATGAATCCTCCCTCTAGGTGGGTAGTGATGGTGGGAACCCTCAGGGTGGTAAGAAGAAGATTCAATAGGCTGGAGGACTTCTTAAGGGATAGATGGATGTAGGTCTCCTGGGTGTAGAATCTCCCTTCTGCAAAATCCTTGAAGATGTTGGATCCAACAGGAGCTATGAATAAATAACTCCACAAGGGGGAGTATAGAACGTACTCATAGTGTAGTAATTATGGATGTAAACATTTATTTATAAATCATGGTAAGAACAAATATAGTAGACTTAAAATCAATGCAGAGTGTGCAGCACTCTGGGTGATGTAGAGTGTGGCAGCAATGTGCATGGGACTAACCGTCCAAAAAGCAAGATGGCCACCGGGCCTCCTCGTGGCTCCAGCGGCTTAACGTCACAGCGGCTTGGCCCCAACTGACGCGTTTCGTGCGCACGCATTTCTTGAGAGGCAGAGGCTGAATGTTTTAAATACATGAACAGGAGGTGTATTACTGGCCAGATCACCAGGTGAAAATAGAGGGGAAAAGGCAAAGAAAAGAAAACTAATGCAGCATCACATCTGATTGGTAAGCTGCAATATATTAAATTTTTTGTTTTGGGTTTAATACTCCTTTAAATGTGATTGTATCTATAAACGTTCTACATAAGCTGAGGGTTGGCGAAACAGATGATGCACAGACCATTGACTCTTCTAATAGAGCATATATCCTTCACTTTATTTCTATCTGAACTCATTATTTTTCTACAGATATTTAGAATGTGTTCTTATCACATGTCTCAGCACAGAGCAGGGTAGCTAACAGGGGAACAGAATTTTTTCTCGTCCATTAAATCATATGTTATTATCTTGTGGTACACTACTGTTGTCTTTCTGGCAAGGTCTCCGGCACATTGCTCTGCTTACTGTTTGTCGTTGTACTATTTTGTCTATTTGCCCAGCGTTGCACAAGTGAGCCAAAGAATTCTGCAGCGTCAGCATGAGCGTTCGCTGTTCTCTGTACAGTTTCCATAAACACTGATTCCCAGAGAAGAAACTCTAGTACTTGTTGTGGCTTAGGGAAAAGTTTTGATCGAGAAGTCGATTAACCAGTTCATCAATCAATCGCAGAAAAGTAAGACTTGGACTTATTGCTTTTGGAAGATTGTAGTTATTTTGGGGAACTTGCAAGAAAATATTGAACAATGCCATTACAGCCAACCTGGTTCTTGTGGCCTAGAAGCTCCTTTGTTTTGCTAGCTACCTAGAAAATACACAAGACTTGTCATAAATACATTTATTTCAGCAGTAACCTCATACTGACCTGGCCCTCAAGGGGAGATACTTCTTGTCCACCAATGAATGGAAGAAATGCATTAACGCCCATTGTCATTTTTTTATTCAATATTAGATTACAAAGGCCACTACTTTCAAACATTTCTAGGTTTTGTAATATGAACCTCTTTGTTTTCTAATTGCCAAATAATAATTGTTAACAGAAAAGCATACAATTTATTTTGTCTAACGTTGTCCTGCATTAACCTAATAATGCATTGCTAGATCTTTGGTGAGGAGATGTCATAGACATATTGTATACATAGCCAGGATTAAAGGTGTGGTAGTGCAGTGCCCTGCCATGGTGAAAAGAGAAGTTATGACCTAGGATTCTCATCAAAGAAGATTGAGGGGTTCCAATGGGTTTTCTTAATTCACAGGAAACAGGTTTTTCAGTTTCCTCATCAGTTGGTAAAACCTGGTTTAGGACCTGGAGCCCTGAGATTTTAAAGAAACTTGAAAGGGATGAAATCTCCAATTCTGGGTCCATATTTTCTGAACAACCAGCACACTGATTATACAGGCAAGTGCAGAGTTTTTTGTAGAGACCTCAACATAGTTAATTGCGTAATTCGGAGAAAACTGGTTTTTCAGTTTCTTCATCAGTTGGTAAAACCTGGTTTGGGACCTAGAGCCCCGAGATTTCAAAGAGATTTTGGAGTGATGATCCAATTCTGGGTTCATATTTGCTTAACAACCAGCACACTGATTATATAGACAAATGCAGAGTTTTTTGTAGAGACCTCATCATAGTTAATTGCCTAGTGCAGAGAAACTAGTTTTTCAGTTTCCTCATCAGTTGGTAAAACCTGGTTTGGGACCTGGAGCCCTGAGATTTTAAAGAGATTTTGGAGCGATGATCCAATTCTGGGTCCATATTTTCTGATCAACCAGCACAAAGATTATACAGGTGTGTGCAGAGATGTTTTGAAGAGACCTGACCATAGTTCTGGGCTGCACCCCAGCAGACCCCAGCTGGTCTTGCCCAGAAGTTAAGAGCTAGCAGAGAGGTGGGAGCCAGAGCAGCAAGGGGCTGCTAGCTATTTGGACAGTGTTAATGAGAGAAAACAGTCTGAAGGAGACAGACGAGGGCCTGAAGTGGAAGGCCAGAGCGGCAGTGCTATATCAGTAATTCAGGAGGTTAAATGTCTATTCTTTACAAGAAAGAGAAATGCCGAAAACCCAGCGAGGGAAGCTGTTTTGTTGGACTTTTTTTCATTCTTTTTAAATAAAAATGGGCCAATAATCCCTTAAATGACATATCTAGTATGCACTTGAGCTAGACAACCCCACACTTTACAAAGGGTATGAATAGCCAAAATTATTTTGAATAGAGCAGTAAAGAGGTAAAACATTAAAATTCCCTCACTTCCCGTCCCAGAAATGCATCAGGAAGAAAATTTCCCTCTTTGTTTTTGTGACAGTTCTAAAGTTTTGGATTTCCCATCATGGAAACAATGTTCATCATGATAAATATGGAGGGTGAATTTCCCCAACTGGGACACAGACAGCAATAAAAACCTGATGGTTTCTAATTGTTCCACACTCTACAGAACTATGATGGAAAACGTGGGCTATACATACATTTTGATAAATTGTTTTTATTCACTGCTTAAAATCTAAGGCTCTCTTAAGGCAAGTTCTCATGCAATAATGACCCAATATGATCACATGGCCATATTTAGACAATGGCATTGACCCAATATGATCACATGGCTATATTTAGACAACGGCATTGACCCAATACGATCACATGGCTATATTCGGACAACGGCATTGACCCAATATGATCACATGGCTATATTCGGACAACGGCATTGACCCAATATGATCACATGGCTATATTCGGACAACGCATTGACCCATATGACCCAATATGGCATCACATGGCTATATTTAGACAATGGCATTGACCCAATACAAT